TCCGGTCAAACACACACACCGACACACACACACACACACACACACCGACACACCAACAGACACACTTAGCGAATTATATAAAGTAGGATATCTGATCGAGGTAACTACTTCTTTTATGCAACCCTGTTATCTTATCCCTAGCCTTATCCGTTATCAATCTTACATGTTTTACGTAGAAGTCTATGACTTTCGCAGTTGTTTTGTTCACGCAACTTCCTGATGCCTTTTCTACGAACTCCAACTATTCTGCATTTGGTACCTTTTGACAATATATCGATGAGGTGTACCCTTCAATAAGCTAACTTTTCAGTGTCATTGTAGCTCTTGATGGTATACTTTTCATTTTCCGCATATGAGATACATTCTTCATCAAGAATTTCTTTGAAGCTGCTCCTTCCTGTGAAGTTATTGTTTATGAAGATCATATTAGACATTGCTTTACTATATTTAGATTATTGTAACTAAAGATTATCTGCTTCATTATACTTTACAAATTATTCGATTATGAGTTATTTCTTCATTGTTAGGAAAATTACTGATTAAGCTTGCTCTACATGTTTTCAATTATGAATTTTTTCCCACTGAATTTTGCTGACAATTTGTTTACGGCATAATAGTAGGTATCAGTTTTGCATTAACATAATATGCTGATTTTTATCGCATGTTATAGCGAGGATTAGCTAGTATTGTGAGGAACAACAATTTTCCTTTAGCGTTAACATTAATTAGCACAACGTTGACATCTAAAAATCGTTTCTACACGATAACTTGATCAAGTGTTTTATGTCGTTAATTGGGAAACTTTCGAGAAATGTATAATATCTCATAGATGAGAGATTTCCTTGTTCATCAGTGGAGATCTCTAAAACCCTCCCATAGTTATGTTATATTTATTACTGCTAAGGCTAATGTAACATAAAATAACACCAGCCTCCTAAAACCCAACTCGAATAACGGAAAAATACAAGAAACACGTGTAGCTAATACGCAATCATACAAAGAGAATTACGTTGAACAAGGCAAGTATTGCGACTTCAAGATTAGATTTGAAACGAAGGCGTAGAAGAAGTGGTCAACCGTAATTCATTCTTTGATAAAATTACTGCTACAGTGCCTTCGAACTCTGAAAAGTAATCCGGAGTGCTCATGCCTGTTGTTGCCTTCTTTTGTCTGAGCGTCGCTGGGGTACATAGTACGTAGAGTACGAGAGAAGGGAAGGCCGAAACACACTGCTTTGGTTCACAGCTTGTAAAACCTGCATAAGTCGAATACCTTGCGTCGTGATTCAAAGTAAAGAGTAAAAGGTATTTGTTACGAATAGGTGCCTCAGGATTCCCGGATTAAAAAAACTACATTTGATTATTGTAGGAGAGGATTTTACGCATGAAATGTTTTGTACTCCTCAAGTGCTCAAACATCCCCTCTCTCAAAAGGGTTGAACACAGCAGCACAACTCTCGACCAGGGGCCAACATATGTTTTATGAGCTTTAAGCAGGGTGGGCATTCGTGGAGGACAACCCTTTGAAGATGTATGCCATAGGGCCATGATACACCGGGTTCCGATGTGTTTAGAAAAGTCAAGCGTGCCAGTATAATGAAAACCCAGGTCTCAAAGAAATGACAAAAATGATTGTAACTCCTTCGACTGTATAAGAACTAGAAGAAATCTCGGTTTCTTTGCCAGTCGTCATGCACTTGGTTTTACGTGGAGCTGAGAGGAGCTGCCACCGCTTAGCCTAA